AGACCATTGTATTCTGGGATATCTATATTTCCAAATAAGATTGTGAAAGAGTCTATTTTATGGAAGAAAATTTGTGGGAGCCACACTGGGCAGTTATGCAGAAGATACAGAGGCTGTGGCATCCATACCATCTTAACTAAGTTAGCCCTTCCAATGCTTGTTAAAGTCAAATTACTCCAGGTCTTGCCAGTTTGTTTTAACCTATGGAGAAAGGTTTCCAGACATTGTTCTACACAATCATGCACTAGTGGGGTAATCATGACCCCTAAATATTTAAATGAGGTAACAATTGCTATTCGGTTTGCTATACTGGGCAACTCATGAAGGAGGAGGTCTAGTGGTAAAAGGACCAATTTGTCCCAGCTAATAGTGAAATCGGTATACGAACCATATTTAGTAACAAGGGAAATTACTGCAGTAATCAAGGATGAGGTCTCTCCTAGGAATAGTAAAGTATCATCAGCATATAGTGCTAGCAGCTAGTAATATTATACAAGGAGACTGTGTGGGAGAAAAGAACGTTCTTGTACACAGGAGAAAAGGATCAATGTAAGGATGTGCAAATGACTGTGAACTTACATGGCTGTGTGTGTATAGAGACACTAATGAAGGATCACTTGGACCTCTCAAGATGAATGAAAAACACTGTAGGGGTGTTGGTGGAGTGGAATATGGGTCACTGTTGGAGAGGCTGGATTGTGCACACACGTCCGCTCTTCCTTGTTGGAATAGGCGGTGTTCATTAGGCTGGAGCGCACCAGCAATCGTGTGTGCAATGTGTCTATGAAATGCACATGCTGGTGTGCATTCCAGCCTCTCCAACAGTGACCCGTATTCCATTCCACCAACACCTGTGGCTGTGGTAATAAGACTGTCCCTGTTTGATGATGCATTCCTGTCCTGCCGCTGGCTAATATCTATTCAGAATACTTTCAACACATTCAGTATTGATGGGGGAATCTCTCCCGTGGAGTTATTGCATTCTGACAGTGAGAGGTTTCCCAGCAGTCAGAATATAATGATCACTTCTGGCTGCAATAGCTGCTGGCAGTGATCCATGGGTCAACTTCAGTACAACCAGTCTGCTCACACATGGATCTAAATTCATCCAGTCCTTGCTGAATCAGCTGAGTTTTGATCAATCTATAGCCAATCTTTATCCAAAATTCCTCATATTGGCCTCTCTAAACCTTCATAATTCAAAGGCCATGCATTCAATAATGGTTTAAAACATACATTTGCTGGGACTGCAAATCATGAACCTGAGGATTCTCCTCAAACCCAAGGTAACGGTGAACACAAACCTTAACCCTGTTTTCTAGTAGTCAAAAACTGTTACACTGTGTACCTCCATAGTGAATAGTCAATCTACAGCATGCCAGATAAAAGACACAGTTTCTCTATTTCAAAGCCAACTTTAATTACTTCACCTTTTTGCTCCATAGTAGTTTTCAAATCAAGAAATGTACCAATGGTTTTACTCTTAAGTATATTAAGCAAACTTCTAAGGACTAATCAATTGCATAATATTTTACTGTGAAATGAAGAGAAAACATACAGCAGTATTTTAGGCATTAAATTACAAAACAGGATGCTTTTTATTCCCAGTTGTAGCTAATATCCATGGTAACTTAATTTACTACTTTAATGTGCCCAGCGAATAACATAATACATCATTTTTATACCACTTTGCATTAAAGTGCTTCTAAAGAAAATGCTGTACAGACATAAACAGCCCGTATAACTTATGTTGCAGTCAGTCGGAAGAAGGTAAATAGATACATTGTATGCTATGTCTAGATATTATTGCTGCTTGAGGTGAAGTTCTACAGTGAAATTTGTAATTGCCACAAACCATCTATATTTTTTCAAAGATGTTTTATGCAATAAATCACTTGAGGGTCACTTGTTAAAGAAAAAACTGTAACATCTACACTTTTTTTTGTTGTCCTTCTATGGTTCCAACTGTATATTTTTCAGCTCTTGTGCAAAGATCCATCAACATTTTGATATAGAGCAACCTTAAAGTGGAACTTTAGTCAGAAAATAAAGTCTTGCAGATCACTTCGTGCTGGTCCCTTTTGTAGGTATCACTATGTAAAACATTCAAAATTCAGTAAGAGATTATACTCTTTAAAATCCAGTAAGACACTGGGGTTGATTTACTAAAGGCAAAGTTGCACTCTGCAAGAGCAGTTGCTCCAGAGCTTAGTGAATGAGGTAAAGATTCAATTTGCAAAGAATACCCAATCATGTGCAAGGAAAATAGAAAAAAAAACAGCATTTTTGCTTGCTCATGATTGGATGATAAAAGTCAGCAAAGCATCTGTTCATTTACTAAGCTCTGGAGCAACTGCTCTTGCAGAGTGCAACTGCACTTTGCAAAGTGCACAGTTTATTTACCATTAGTAAATCAACCCCATTGTCTCACCCTGCTTTGCACATGCTCAGTTGCGCTCTCTCTTTTTTTTTTTTTCTGGCAGTCTAAAGATTTATTGCTGCTCTGGGGCTCTGGGCTTCGGCAAAATGTCAGCCTCTGACAAGAAGAAACAGGAGCAATTGTGAAGGCAATTTACAGCACACACAAATTTTGGTAGCATAATTATTAATGTGGAATGTGTGTTCCTTGCTAAAGATTATTATTTTTTTATCAGGTTGTTATGGGTAACATTCTGCTTTGATATAAACAAACTGAAAATAATGTATGATTTGCAACTCTTTGGCAGTCATACTAATTTAATGGATTCAAAAATGTCTGATTTTTTGGGCTGATTCAGGTGTTCAGATCAAAAGGCCTAATTTTGTATGCTGCATACTTTCAAAAGATCAATGACTCAAAATGGGAGATTTACTAAAACTGGAGCACTCAGAATCTGGTGTAGCTGTGTATAGTAGTAGCCAAACCACTTCTAACTTCCTCTTGTTTAATCTCTTGGCACTGGCATTATGCAAATATGCGGCCTCTCGGTGGGTGGCCCTCGACACAGAGAGGCCACATATTCACATAGCAAGTTTCAACAAACATGTGCCAAGAGAGTCTGCCCTGCGCACTCCCGGCATAGTTATCTGCACCTATCGGAACAGTTCGGTACTTGCGATCAGGAAATTGATGATCAAGTGACTGCTGTGGCAGCCAATCACATTGGTCGCATGATTATAAACCCCACCCTGCCTCTTGGCATCAATAAAACCTGGAAGCTGAATGGTTTCTATACACAGCTTCACCAGATTTTGCACTCTCCAGCTCTGCTAAGTAACCCCCAAAGTATTAATGTCTGTATTGATAGCCAAGTATTTTCATAAGGTTAGAAATAGCAACCCCTGTGCTTAGCTCAGCATAGCCTTGATTCAAAAATAGAAGGAGGAAAAGTCCTGCATCATGCTACAGTACAAGTAATTATTTATCTTATCCTTATAGTGTTATATGGTTTTATTTCTGGAAAGATTCCAATTTTCCACTTATACCTTTGAAGATATGTGTGAAAATGTCAAATTTAGTGCCAAACTAATTCATAGAAAGAGCAAAACTGGACACTTGAATATGAATTTATTAACAGTTAAATGAGAAATAGGAAGCTACAGAGCAGAAAACGTCAATTAATAAGCTCTTCTAGTGTAACAACACATGGGGGTTGATTTACTAAAACTGGAGAGTGTAAAGTCTGGTGTAGCTGTGCATGGTAGCCAATCAGCTTCTAACTTCAGCTTGTTCAATCAAGCTTTGAAAATAAAGGTATGGTCTATGCATAGTTACATTGATCTAAGCTAGATTCATTTAACCCCTGATAAATGCTTAGTGACCCCTGCTCAGACTAAAAAGGTCCAATGGATTGATGCCTTGATGCTGCTGACTACTGAGGGTGCAGGCAGGGGAAAAGGTTTATCCAGACCTAAAGTATGCCCCCCCCCCCCACCAGGGGTGAAACATCCTGAGGGCATGGCTTAAATGAATCAAGCTGAGGCTGCTTTTACCTACTACCCACTCAATCTGGGTGAGGTGTATGGCGGCCGGGCTATCTCTTCCTATTTCTACAATGAACTAATTTAACTACGCTAAGCTACCTGGAGCTTTAAGCTGCACAGTGCCTGATTGGAGGAATGCCTTGTATAAAATCAAAGAAGCGCAGTACTCCTGTCCAGCCAACCTAGTACAGACTTGAAAACAGTCTCAGCCCAAGTTTTGCTTCGCCTACCGGTGGGCAGAGGTGTGGCTTTTTACAGAGCCTCATGGGCTGGGGCTGTTTTCAAGTCTACACTAGGTTGGCTGGATGGGAGTGCGGCACTTCTTTGATATTATACATGCATCACTTTGGATGAGCACCTTTGGCAACCGGCACCTTTCTTCCTGGTGACTGCGGGCTTCCTCAGCTTAAGCGGCGCTCATAACCTAGCACTAAGGTGACTGGGAAGAATGCCTTGTTATATAGATTTGAAACCACAGTTAGAAAACATTGGACATTGTGGTCATTTGTAGTTAATTAAAAAGAAAAAAAAAAACAGTAACAGAGAGTCAGCCTGTATAAGCAAGCTGATAACAGTCACAGGCTGATAAACTTGCTTCTCAAGCAATGCTGTCAGTTGAGGCAAAATGATTTTAATATCAATTTAGCATGTTCTGGAGCAGAGCTATAGATAGACCCACAATCAATCCTGATATATATTCGATTACAAAATGTCTTAAACATATTTTTAAATACTACCTTAGTATGTCTTTTATAGCCTCCTACATTCCTTTGTACAGGTGAGGAGAGGACAAGGATGGCATTGTAGGACAATAAGGTTCATGGTATTTCTAACCTCAAACTTCAAACATATGTATAGTATTTCAATAGGTCAATGTGTCTGCTAGCCCATAGTCCTTCTTTAACCGCCTGCCGCCCGCCATATAGTAATATTACGGACGCAAGGTGGTTCTCTCGTTCTGGGAGGACGTCATATGACGTCCTCCCATTCTAACCGTGCATGCGCAGCTCTCGGAGAATGCGGTGATCGGCGGTGAGCTGTGTCCCTCGGACACAGCGTATCATCGATCCACAGAAAGAGCCAAAGATGTCGGCTCAGTCATGTGATCAGATGTGTCCAATCACAGCTGATCACATGTAAACAGGGAAAGGCCGGTTATCTGCATTTCTCTGAGGGGACATGTACACAAATCATCAGAGCACTGATGATCAGTGTGCCCTGATGATCTGTGTAGCCCCAGCAGTGCCACCTGCCAGTGCCCATTAGTGCCAGATTTCAGTGCCCATCAGTGCCACATCAATGCCACATATCAGTGCTCATCTGAGCTGCCTTTCAGTGTCACCCATCAGTGCCAGTCAGTGCCACCTATCAATGCCAGTCAGTGCCACCTATCAGTGCTGCCAGTCAGTGGCACCTATCAGTGCCAGTCAATGCCGTCTATCAGTGTGCATGCATCAGTGCGCCTATTAGTGCCCGTCAGTGCTGCCTAACAGTGCCAGTCAGTGCCACCTAACAGTGCCAGTCAGTGCCACCTATCAGTGCCAGTCAGTGCTGCCTATCAGTGCCACCTATCAGTGCTGCCTATCCAGGCCATATATGAGTGCTGCCTTTCAGTGCCCATCAGTGATGCCTGTCAATGCCCATCAGTGCCACCTACCAGTGCCTCCTCATCAGTGCCCATCAGTGCCACCTATCAGTGCCCATCACTGCAGCCTCATTAGCGCACATCAGTGAAGGAGAAAAATCACCTATTTACAAAATTTTATAACAAAACCTAAGAAAAAACTTTTTTTTTCAAAATTTTCAGTGGTTTCTGGTTTGTTTAAGAACAAATAAAAAACCCAGGTGATTAAATACCACCAAAATAAAACTCTATCTGTCACAAAAAAATGATACAAATTTCACATGGGTACAGTGTTGCATGACCGCGCAGTTGTCATTCAAAGTGCAACAGCACTGAAAGCTGGAAATTGGCCTGTGCAGGAAGGGGGTATAAGTGCCCTGTAGGCAAGTGGTTAAAGACTCTGTAAACCCAACATTTCATATTCCTGATATGTGCCTGCTTTACCATGTACTTGTATGAAAAAGTATCCTGTTCTCTTTGCATTGCTTCCTTTGTGTGAAATCCCTGGTGCTCCTACCAGTCCCTCTGTTTTTCTATTAAAAGCTGACCACACTAGGCATGAGAGCACAGTGTGGACGGTTCACTAGCTGTGCTGAGAACTCAGCCTGCTCTCTTCCAATGATCAGACTTGTGCTAACACCCTCCCTGCACAGCCATTCACTGGGAAGATCAGTGTGCTGCCATTTCTCCTTCCTGAGCTCCTGCAGCTGAGAACAGAGGGTATGTGATCACTATATGGTTTTTTTTTATATCTATTCACAAATGTTTTGCCTTTCATTTCTATTTTAAATTGAATGGGTTGTTTTACAAGGTGAGATTTTACATATGGACTTTTAGTGTTTTTGCAACTCATTGAACCAGATCCACTTTATGTTCTGCCCCTTTCTTCTGCCCTTAATTTCCCTTCCAGTATATCTATCTATCTATCTATCTATCTATCTATCTATCTATCTATCTATCTATCTATCTATCTATCTATCTATCTATCTATATCTATCTATCTATCTATCTATCTATCTATCTATCTATCTATCTATCTATCTATCTATCTATCTATCTATCTATCTATCTATCTATCTATCTATCTATCTATCTCTATCCATCTACCTATATCTATCTATCTATCTATCTATCTATCTATCTATCTATCTATCTATCTATCTATCTATCTACCTATATCTATCTATCTATCTATCTATCTATCTATCTATCTATATATCTATCTATCTATCTATCTATCTATTATCTATCTATCTATCTATCTATCTATCTATCTATCTATCTATCTATCTATATCTATCTATCTATCTATCTATCTATCTATCTATCTATCTATCTATCTCTCTCTCTATCTCTCTATCTATCTTTCTCTATTTTTATCATAATACACCCTTCTCTTTTATTTTATCACTCATGACATTTTAGAAAAACATGCCACTGGCTTACTAGAGAAGAAATAGCCCTCACTTTCATATGGCTTTTGGGCTTCAGAATGTACCGTAGGAACAGGAGATCAAATGTAATCACACAATGCAGGAGTGACAATTGATTTTCCTGGCACTTGTGACAGCAAAAGTACCCCAGCAGGACACCAGGACCCTTCCAATAGACAAGAAGCCTCTGAAGACTACGGTTTCAAACAAAGCTGGCAATGAGACAGATTGCCATTTCTCAGAGCCCGCTGTTCAGCGCATAGAAAAGCGAGAATTAGAATACATTTTTATTTTTAAAAGTTTCCATAGACTTCTTTACTGAACATCCTTAAATCTGGTTCGCTAGGTCTAAAAGTTTGATAAAACATTCATGAGCAAAATGGTATTGTTTGTAGATCATCTATAAAAAAATGACTCAGAACCAAATGAAATATATAAAGTGCATATCTAAAACTGGGAGTCAAGTGTGTTTCAAAGAGATAACTTTTAAATAGACCTAAATGTGTCAAGAGAGCAGTATGAAAGAGACAAAGCTAAGCCATTATATGGATGTTACAGGCAGGAGATATATATACATAAATGGAACACTAACAGAGATGTTTCTGTTAACGTTTCTCTAGACTCCACCTGCCAAAAATGTATATGGTATGCTCTGCGTGAATTTTTTATTTTCTGGTATAGAAATTGTGCTTGTAATTTTTTTTTTGATGTATGTATAAGCTGAGAAATAAGGGATTAGGAAAAAATGTAGATGAAACATTACAACAAATAATTGGAAGCAGGAAGCTTTGTACGAGGGACAATCAAGTCAAACCAGGACTTTTAATTTTACAGGTATACAAAGGGATGCTAGCATGGTGGTACTACACGCAGTAGTGGTAACAATGTTTCTTTTGAACAAAGGCGTAACCTGCAGATATCTACAGAAGACTTCAAGCACAGTGCAGTGATGAGACGCTCGGCTGCAAAAAGACATTTGAATGATGTAAACATTTCAAAGATGGCTGTATGATCCCGGCTGTGGTGGTTGCCAGCCCACAGCAGTCATTCCTGTGAACATCCAGTGCGAGGAACACCTGATCCTGGATAATCGATGCATATTCTGTTATGAAATTGCACAAGAGACAAATCTTTCTGTGGAAACGGTGAACACAATGATGAAGAAGTGAAGCAGGATATCCTAGGATGGTTCAGGCATACAGATAAATCTTTCTATGCCAAAGCTTTTGAGGCATTAGTTAAGCGCTGGAATAAGCGTATCAATGTTCCACTCTTTGAAATGTATTCTTTTAATATATAAATTCAAAGGTCCAGGTTTGGCCTGAATGCCCGCAGCTTTAAGTATACTTATGCTTCCTGCTCACCACTAATGATTAACCTCTTTCCAATATTCCTGAGGAACAGTTCCTGATGGAGAACTCTCTTCATTTCCCTTTAAAGTGAAGCTGTGCTTTGTTCATGCTGGAGAAAACAACAGGTCTACTTTGTTCCCGGTCCCTGCAGCTGGTTATTCTTACTATTCCCTTTGCCATTTACTGCTCCATGTGCCCATGAGATGCAGAAGTATCACTTTGTAACTTCATGACTTGGAGCTTACACTAGGCTCAGGACATTCTCCTTACCTTCATGTGACTGTGCTGTGTGCCTTAGCAGGCAATCAGCAAACAGGAGCCAAGTCTTATGAACGAGGAGTGAATAACATACTCCTTTATACCTAAAAGTACTGAGTATGCCAAATAAAATGGAGACCGCCCCAATTTATAAATAGCCTTTAGAGCAAGGTGCACATGGAAGGGCTATGCATACTGCAAATAAAACAAAATGATTTTCAAGCATACTTAGCAGCTAGCCAGTAAAAAAAAAAAACCCCACTAATAATTTGCATTAAAAATAAAGTTTTTTGTTGGACACATTTGCAAACATATGTGGAACTACCTTGCACTATCTTGTCAAGATCCCTCTGTATAGTGCAAACCTAACTCTAGTCCATGACAGCCTCCATGTTGAAGCTTAGATAGCAATGGATAAATTAAGGGCAGGTTTGCCTGGAGGCATCACACTCCTCCTTAAAAGTGCAGGGACACAGCAGAATCCCAGCAGAGCCCAATGGCCGCTGAAAGCATTTGATGTTTTCCTGTACAATATCCAGCAAGCTAAGCAAAAACGAGGACCACCCAATTTATAACTAGCCTTTAGGGCAAGGTGTACATGAAAAGGGCATGCACACAGCAAACAAAACAAAATTAATTTTCCAGTACACACCAGCTAGCCAGCAAAAAAAAAATTTACAATGCCATTTTTTGTGAGATACTCCCAAAGGGAAATCCAATGTAAAGATATGCAGATCCTGTAATTTTCCTAATTTAAGCCCTGCAAGTGCAGCAGCTGATTGATAATTATGAAACCAGTCACATACATTTTCACTCTCTACTTGACATGTGCAGTTCGTTTCATTCCGAATTGAAATTCAGACAAATTTTCGGTTATTCCAAGATTCGGATGCATCTGAATTCCGCATTGCAATAGTAACGAACTTAAATGAATCTAAAATAACGAAATTAAATTTGGACAAAATTTGAATCGATTTGAATTCAAAAAACACATTCGAAAAGAAATTCAAATTCGAAAACAAATTTGAAAACCAATTTGAATTTGAAAACAAGAAAAGAATAAAATAGAACAGAAAATAAAGAATAGAATAGATGAACACAACACAGAAATGGATGTTCTTCAAAAAGACTGTATGTGAACACAATGCAAAATATATTCCCATGGGCAACAAGTTTAAAAGGCTAAAAATCAAACCTATGTGGCTTACGGCCAAAGTTAAAAAGGCTATAGATAAGAAAAGAGCTTTTTTTCAATATAAAAAGGAAGGAACACTATCATCGTTTAAACATTAAAAACATTACAAAGAATATAACAGAATATGCAAAAAGGAAATAAAACCAACAACAGATTGCAAAAGATAGCAGGACCACCCCCCAAAAATTCTTCAAATATATTAATAGTAAAAAGTTCCAGTCCGAGCATGTAGGTCCTTTACAAAATAATCTAGAGCGGGTGACTGGGGACAAAGAGAAGGCAAATTTATTTAATACCTTCTTCAGCTCTGTGTATACAAAGGAGCATGGGGGAGCTCTTGTCCATAATGGGCATGGTATTGACACAGCTGCAGATGATCCACATTGGCTCACAATTGATATGATCCAAAAATATTTAGACAGTATAAAGGTGAATAAAGAACCTGGATTGGATGGCATACACCCACGGGTCCTTAACCTCCCTGGCGGTATGATTATTTCAGATTTTTGGTGCTGAAAGCGGTACCATTTTTTTGCATGGAAATATGTATTTTTTTTATTGTAGGCTGTAATTTTTAGGAAAAACTCACTGAAATCTGTCCGAACAAGAGTCTAGTAAACATCCCGGTATGATAAAATTTGAAACACAAAATCATAAATTATAATTTAATAAATAATCATAAAAATAATATAAAAATAAT